TGATTGCACTTTTTTAATATTCGAGAACACAGAGGACCATATTATTATAATATTGTAAGTCTGATATTTGACAGTTGAACGTTTTATTTTGTCAATTGGATGTTGTAAAATCTTTTTTTCCCTCTGTGACTAATTAATAAACTACCTATTAATACAATTCATTTTTCCTGCAGCAGATCGGACGTACACTGGCGGTGGTCTGTTGTTCTTCCTCATCACACGTCATCACAGCTCCAATATTATCACTTTGACCGGTTTTTTTGTCGTGTGACTCATGACCGCCATGACATTTTATTTGAGATCTCAAAAAATTACTAGTACCGAATATTGAGACTCCGTATGAGATCTCACTGAAATCGATTTTTAGTGAGATCTCCTACGGATTCTCAGTATTCGGTACTTTTTAGTCGGATTTGAAAAGTACAGTTTCGCCACTTTCAGATGGTGTAACAAGCTTGCAGATATCATTATTAGTTTTTTTTTTATCAATTTTTGTTTAAATCGTCAAAACTGTTGCGAAGTAAACCTATGAAACAACTCCTTGGCGGCAGGGTGTAAACTAGTGAGATCTCATACAAGAGCTCATGGTGGCCAAAGTGTTATACGATGTGTTCCGGTGTGAAGTGACCGGCCGACTTCATATGAAAATATACCAAAAACGATGAAGAAATACCCTTTAAAGATTGGGTCTAACTTTTTTATTTTTTAGGTTATGGGCAGTTAACTTCTTTTTTTTTATCAAAACCATACGTATCACTTATTTGTTTATGCATCATCGAAACTTTTCAACATTTTGACGTATTTTTAAAGCTATTTAATTGTCTTATCAACCGAAATGCGCAATTAAACCAGAAATTTAAAAGGAAATCCGAAATTGTGCATTATACCAAATAATTTATTATTAACTATGAGTTTTTAGTTTTTTGTATTTTGACTTTTGAGTTATGACAACTACAATTTACCGAATAGTATAAAATTAAACGATTGACGACCAATTATACTACTCAATTCTAAGAAAACAAAGATTGTGTATATTAACAGGATGATATTATGGAAACCAAACTTTCAAGGTATTCTAGGTATTATTCAGTATTATTCAGTAGAATAGCATAAAAGACAAAAAACCCATACTACAAGTAATACATTATTTTTAATAATACGAGATTTCCTTTAAAAAATGCTAATTTTTTCCAACTTTTTTTCTACTTTTTTAATTTAATAAAAATAATTAGCACATATTTTCTAGTTCAATTGCGTATATTGGTTGATAAGATACTGAAAAAAAAAATTACATCAAAGTGTTGAAAATACGTACAAAAAAAATGCGTGATACGTATGGGTTTTGATAAAAAAATTTAATTGCCCATGATTTAAAAAATAAAAAAGATATATCCAATCTTTAAAGGGTATTTCTTCATCATTTTTCGTATACTTTAATATGACATCGACTGGTCACTTCAACCCGGAACAAATTGTATTTAATTTGTCTACTGTAGTATTAAACAATGCTTCACCATATAACTGTTTGAATTTATGGTATAGAGTGTGCATCTTGTGTGTTATTTTGTTTAAATACCTTCCGGTTTGTCACTAGTTCGGTGTACCAAATGTGCGAGACCCGGAGGTCGACAAAAAAAATTTTAAATGTTAATTTGTTTGATACTTAACTGTCGGCCATACCTGTTTCTGGCCATTTACATTAATATTTTACTTATTTTTGAATTTTGTGGTAGAAGAGTTTCAGAGCGAATTTCAAAAGTAAGCTAGAATATTATATTTACGGGAATGGCGTACTACATCTATGAAAAAAAAAGCATTTGGAAAATGTTTGTTTGAAGGATGGAAAATTGTGTTTCAAGAGAAAATTATGTGACTTGGAATTTAAAGCGGCATTACCGTCACACGACTTTCCAAAATGTGCTTGACAATTCGTATAAATGGTGATATATTATATAGATATTGCCAAAAAAAAAAAATTTAAAAATTAATTTTTTTTTCATATTATATAAGTTCCGGCGATATCTGTTTTTGTATTTTGTTGTAAAAGGATTTCGGAGCGAGTTGCAAAAGTAGGCTAGAAAGGTTACGGGACTGGTGTGTACCGAAGTCGACGAACAAATTGATAAATATAAATTTACCGGAACTATATCACGACGGTGAAATTCCAGAGGACAGACTTCGCCATTTTGCCATTATATCTCAGTATGGTTGTTGGTGAACACCGTGGAAAATTACAACCCACGTCAAGTGTACTCATGGACAACAAAAGTCGAGAAAAACTACCATTGTAGGCAGTGGTCGAAATGGCTCAACATAAGTGGAGGGATGCCTTACAATTCAGATTTCCTGATATCATTATAACATTCTTCGCACCTTGTATAATATTTTTTTTTTTTTATTGGTTAGGTTTTTTTACTGTGGTCATAACACTCATAAACAGTATTCTATCCATGGGCTAAATTTAGAAATTGATCGACTCACACATATTAGTATATTACACATCTACTTATTAGTTATAAACGAAATATTGTCAGAAATGACGTTTAGATATTTTAGCGTATCGCTAGTTGCTACGTCCCTTCTTATTATCATCAATATTGTTATTTTTCTGTGATATACGTGCAGACAGTAAGTATTTAATTTTAAAACACAAGTCTTAGGACGGATGGGTTCTTCTAGACAAAATAAGTAGTGGGATAAAAAACGTGAGTACAAAAAAGTAGATTGATGCCATCCCCCCCCGTGCCCACTTTGACCACTTATTGTAGGTTAATCAACAGTAAATTTGAAGCTTAATATAATAATTAAAAAATTCAAATAATATTCCACTTTATTATTATATAATAATAAAATATATTATAGTCTCCCAGTTTTCAAAGTCTTTAAAAAAATCATTATTATATTATTTTAGGCAAATTATGATTTTGAAATAATATATAAAACGTGATGATACCGTTATTGATGGTGATGTCGACGCCCTTTTTACAAAACGTAGCTGAATCGTTATGGCGCAAAGGCACTTAAGGTACTTACATCGCTTTTGAGTGCCTGTCCCTGACGATGACGGTATGGGAGAACAAAAAAATCGACATTTTCGAACATAATCCCCACTCCCTATGGGAAGAAGCTCCACTGTTATCAAACGCCGCTGACGTTAGCTATAACATATTAATATGAACATAAATGAAAACGACCAATACCAAAAAAACCAATTTTAACAATTATGACGTTTTAATTAATCCAAATAATTAAAGAGTCAAATACAACGAGTAGAAATGAAAAAATAAATGACAAAATACATAGGTAGGTATGAAGAGTTTCATTTTCTGTAGAACAGCTTGTGATAATATGTCTACGCCTTGCAGTCGTGTTGGGTTAGGCAACACAAACGTCGTTAGTTCCCTACGCGCATGCGCACACACTTAATTTGCCTATAACAAAACGCCCAGGAAAGCGTGTTCGGTCAGATAATAATATTATTATACTGCACAGGCTATGGTTATAGATCCTAGTGGTATAAAGTCTGTGGTTATACGTTTATACCGCGTACACGATTGTAGCAAGTAATCATTTTCTAAAAAAAATGTATATTATTATTGTGGATGGTAGGCCATTCGTATTTGCCAAGTCTGGTAGGATACCTGGATATTACCAGGATACCTGAATATTACCAGGATACCTGGATATTACCAGGATACCGTGATGTATAATGTACGAAATACCAGAGCGTTCCATGCCTACAGGAAAATAATGTTTTCTCAATAGTGTACTTATAATTATATCCAAAGGTACTGATGTCTTTTGAAACGCCTATGACATATAATTTAAAGCTCAAGGACTTACTCAAAACCATGACAGGCTAATAAAAAAATTACTTCAAAGAAAAATTGGCTGAAAACTCAACTCATTAAAGTTCGTCGACCACTTGAAAACAGTGACGTAACACGAACAGCAATACGTGGTCCATCGTCAACCACCCAAATATTTAAATGTAATATCTTATTTAACAAAAATCGAAATACTTGTTTTAAGTGAACAATAATAATATTCATTACAGACCCAACGCTGCAGTAATCGTGACGTAATTTTTATAGCACTATAACGAATTTGGAAACGTCTTATTTTATAAAACGTGTTGTATTAATTATAAATAAATCAAAACAATTGTACGTCCACGTCATACTGATGATACAATATTATTACAAAATTAATAATTTATCTTATCATCGTCTTGTGTGGGTATAATACTACTCGTATATAAATGTCAAGTACAGTGTAGTAAATATAATATGTTACACTCGTGTACCTTATTCGCTTAAGACTATTTATTTCCGAGCAGACATTTTGACACAGAAATATTATGCAACTGTCTAGCATGTCCAAGTTAATATAATAGTTAAATGAAAACTATAACTCAGTACGACTATTATAAGTATAAAAATTTGTTTTTTTCTGTTTTTTTTTTTTTTTTTGTAAATGTCAGTTTTACATTGATATAATATTATATTATTATGTTCTAAAAAAAATTTGAAAATGTTATCCATGCGCATAGTACTGTCATACTTGAAAAGGGTAAATCGTTTTCCATCAGTTTGTTATCTGGTTAACCCCTCCCCCCCATGTTGACGTGTCACAAAAGACAGTCGATAAAAACTATATACGTTTACATAATCGTAATAAGTAAAAAAAAAACTACACGTTGACGGCATTTTCGGGGTCAAGATCGAGAGTCGCTGAGGTCCACACGCCCCGATTATACAATAATAATTATAATATTATATAATAGTTTACCGTCGACGGTGTTTTGCCAATTTCAGTAAGTGATACGAGCGACATTATCGTACCATAAAGCTATAAATTATACACGTGCACTATACACAGCTTATTAATATTATTTTTACTTTTGAAATTATTATATAATACGCCTTTTATATTATTTTACGAGTCACTCTACGGCGTTTTGGGCGAATAAAGCATAGGTACTATAACAATAACACACAATGAGCTACACCATTGACACGAATTTGGCCGCCAGCCAGGTTCCCGACGGCTTTCTGTCCGATACTTCCGACTTCCTGTGCACACTGTTCGACCGGCCCAAAAAGGTAAATATTTACGACAAATAGCATTAATAGTCCGAAGGTGGGTGAAACTGCGCAAGCAAGTCAACAATAACGATTAGCTCGAGTTAAGTACAGTAAACACCATATCGTTATTATTTGATATTATTGTTATATTGATTTGTAGTTAAAAAAAATACATTTAACTCGGCAACTTTAAAGTTAATGCGGAACCTCAGAATAAACTGAAGTTGATCTATAGTTTTTTAATTATTTCGTGGATCGCATAGAGTATTTTTACTATCTACATAATAATATAATATTGTTTTATCGAGAAACATAACAGAAGACAAAAGTTATGGTATTATTATCCTATTATTATTGTATGGTATTTGATTATTTTTATTTAAACCATGTAACAGTCATTGATACCATGTGTATGGTATGGTCCATAATAATATTATGTATGAAACCATTGCAAATTACAATGTTGACCAAGACACTGTTTAAGTGATCAAATTTGCTGTGATAAATTCTATGGGACCAATTTACTGAATACCATTTCCTTAAATCTATCCTAACACAACTTAGACAATAATATTGTGTTCAGCTATAGTAAAACTCTAATATATTATGTTTTCGATTTATACACTTTTATAGACGTTCGCACAATATTATTATTATTCTATCCCAACTCCTGGATTTCCACCGTCGTAAACTTTCACCTGGTATAATAGTTGTCACCGATAACAATAATTATTACTATAATATTATTATATTGTCAACAAACTCGACTGATTATTAATTTTTTTTTTTTGGTTTTACGTAATCTGCCGATCTGTATTCGAAGCGCCGTGGCCGATCGATAGGTGTAACAATAGTGTATAGGTACCTAACAATATATTATTATTACTATTTGTATTATGTACGTAACGCGATTAGGAAACGTTTGAGAAATCTCGTCCCGTTTATGTTGTATAATAATATGATACATTATAATAATATAATATTGTTATTGAATCAATTCACGTGTACCTATATATAATTTATTATACATTTTGTATAATAGCTCAATAAGTGATATCATGAAGACTATTGATACCTAATAAGTGTTAAAAACGTGATAAGCAGGAAATAGGTGAAGTTTAGAATATTACACTATGAACAGAAATAAAATAAAAAAAATTGTTTGAAAAATGAATTTCGATTTAAACCGACTGTATAAAATGTATAAGACAAGTCAGTATGATTTTTCCCATATTTCAATTCAATTAATATTAATTTATGTAACAATCATATTATATTGCAACAATAACATTTGATAGGACACAATAGACATTGATTGGTCGATGGGATGTTGCACACCGGTAAACACGAAACATAATAATTAATGTTTAAAAATTAGAAAAACGTTCTTTAAAAATAATATAATCTCATCGCGGTAAAGTCTTTTTGTTTTAAAAAACAAAACGTCTTTATCGCATCCTATCACACAATAGCATATAATACTAAAATTGTTCGGTGGTTGTGTAATATTGTCTCGGATCACGCAGGTGATCATGGGACAACTGCGATCAGGGCAGGAGTTCGACTTTTCGGGTTCGACCGACCATTGTGTCGTGATGAACCTGACCAGAGGATCGCTGAGGCCAAACACGTCGACGGACGAAGAAGCTATCGAACGGTACGTGGCGGCCATCAGCGAATACCTGCAAAACGCGCTCGGAGTTCCCAAGTCCAGGTAACTTTTACGACTTTACCTCCATAATATAAATGAAATTAAGATAATACAATAATTATTACAGGTAGGTGTATTGCATGTTATAATATTACGTAATCGGAAATCTGTCGAGCATAGGCGCAATTTGGGGGGGGTTGCGTTAGCCCCCTAGTTTTATTGAACCCCCCCTAAGTTTTTAAATAATATATTCATTTTCAAACCCAACTAATAAAAAAAATTAGGAGGGGAGGTCCGTTGGTTTGGAACACGTGTATATAATGTAGAGAGGATTTGTCACTAAAACTCGGGTGGTCACAATCACTATAATTCATTTATTTAGGTTCTTGGCTTTTTTTTTAATTTTTATATGTTTACCGATATTGTTATAACAATTTAATTCAACTAGTGATTTTTATTTTATTAGTAAAACCATAAAAACGTGCTTTAATAGTGTATATTATATACAGTTTGTCCCTATAAAGTCCAGTTTTGTCATAATCACCATGATTGTGAGACCTTATCAAACGTTCGACAGAATCAATAACATTTAGTGCATCTGGGGGGCATAGTTTCTTATAGATTCCTAGCCACAGAGATAATCCTCAGGGACTACGGGACTTTTGGGACGTACCTACCTAACATATTAAATATTTACTATAATATACTTAACTGGCAGACACCTAAAAATGCTTTTATCTGCGACAACCATACAACATACCTTTACTATTATGACGTTATTGTGTTATAACGCATCCGAGTCGTGTCCCGAGTACTAGGGATAATCGCAGGGTACTACACTTGGGATGCCGGATTTTTTTTTGTACTACACACGGGTAAGAATTTTGCGCAAAACTAAGTGGTTGGGATAATATTAGTAATATCAATCGCATCGAGGTTGAAATGGATAGCTCAAGATCATGTAAGTCAATTTTTTAATATCACGATCAATTTATCAAAATTTTAAAGAAAAAATTAATCACAAAAAAAAGGCAGGAATAATAAATCGATTTGATTTTGCAAAATTAATGTCTTATAAATTTTTACCAACACACGTGTGATTTCTTTAAACAATATTTTAAGTCTGTTATTTCCTAAGTCTGTTAAAATGAGAAGGAAAATAAACTTATGTAGTACTCAAAAAAAAAATTAAGACCTCAACTATTGTTGTACGTGTGAAAATTCCGGACCCAACTAGTGTAGTACCTGCATAAATCCCGGACCCAACTAGTGTAGTACCTGCAAAAATCCCGGACCCAACTAGTATAGCATTTTTGAATTCGGGACCCAATTCGGATGCAGCCGTTATAAAAACTTGGTGGCGAGCACTCGTGGAACCTCTGACCCGACCATAAAAGATATTCGTGGAGGGTTATCGCCACCACCATATTAAAGGATGACGCCCGTAAATACTATATAATTCATATACTATCCAAGCACGGTATAATATATTGCTTGTCATATAATAAGTGGGTTTCAAAATAATATGTCTTTGAAATAATCGAATCATCGGGTAAATATATTAAATAAATATTTAAAAAGTGTATGATATGATGGTAAACAGCGCATGTACCTTTAATATTATGATATTAACATTGACGAGTGTAATGTAATATACAATATTATCGTTACACCACCACTTTGTGGTGAATATAATATAATTTAATTACGTAAACGATACAGGTATAGTTAGGTACAATATATAACTATAACTCTATACGGTTTTTTTTCTTCTTTCGATTTATCACTGTTTTCTCTAGTAATAATTATTATTCAATGCAATAATATCAAAATGCGTCGGTACCTATTATTCGTTTGGGCACTTGTCAAAACGCCCGACCGTCCCTAGTTCTCTATACAATACAGTATTATGATACTATTATACTTACTGTATGTCGTTTATTGTGAGAGTAGAGTTGGAACCTCCTCGCCGCCGATGTACGAAGATCTAGCAATATATTATTGTATTGATTGTTTGCATTTGGCGTTCACTGACGATCGTTAATACGGTTGTAAGTGGCGAGACGCGTGAAATAATATGTCTATTGTTATGAAGGTATCTGTGCCTATGTTTGAAAGTGTGATTCATCAAACCACATCCGAGCACTTATAATGATATTATAAAATATCATCGAACAAGTATTTTAGTAAACGTTCTAAGCGAGATTATAATATTCTAGGTACCTAAATATGTACCTACGCAGTGGTCAACTGAGCTTACATTTTGAATAACGCCTTTCATATTTACCGACACCATAATTTACCCCATAGTATACTCATACGACATCGGAGCACTTAATGATACTATAAAATATCATCGAACAAGCACTTTAGTAAACATTCTAGATTATAGTGTTCTAGGTACCTAAATATTATGTGTACCTATGCAGTGGTCAACTGGGCTTACATTTTAAACAACGCATTTCATGTTTACCACCCCCGTCCCATAATATACTCTAATATAATATATTATTTACTTATAACAAAGTTATGGTCTACATAATAAAATGTGGCCGAAAGAGGTCGGACCGTGGCATTAGACTTTGCCTCCACTGCCGCCTTAAAAGTTGACGCACCTTCAAAATTCAGCCTTTCGGCCCGCAAATTTGAAACTGGGAACGTTGTCTATAGGTATTTAGTATACAGTTTTGGTACAGTTGTTCATTAATAAAATAAAACATTCACTAAAACAGGTTTGATAATTACACAAAATATCGAAGTTAGTGATGTCGATTTTTCATACCTACAGCTACAGCAGAGTACTTGTTATGATATTATAATAATCACAAAACCATAAAAAAAAGAAACACCTTTTATACAGCCTACGTTTCGCTATTGTGTATATTATTTTAATATTTTGTAAATCGCATAGACTGTTGTAGATGATGCTTTTTGTTGATATTATTATTGTAATACTTGTCATAAATGGGTTCGGTCGGCTAAACGATTTTATAACTCTAATGATATTATATTGTTAATTTTCTGTTTTCTTGTGCGTAGAATTATGATTTTTTACTACGAACACGACATGGCGCTGATCGGCAACAACGGAAGAACTTTGAAACGTATTTGGTCGGAAATCGGCACGTTTCCTTCGGATTGAAATGCAGACGACCGTGGCCACCGATTGCAAGATTAACAATACTTTGAGTAATAATAATATATAACATAAAAACCAATATAAATTATCAACACCAATATATTGTACCGAGTTTTTCATATTTTATTCGATCTATTTGGTACAAAATTACAGACCTATAGACATAATAATAATAATAATCATAATAATAATAATAATAATATTTATGTAAATATATATATATTTTTATAAACACATACACATACGTATGATGTATATGTCCATATAATATATAAATATATATATATATATATATATATACTCGATGTGCATTTAACTTTGAATACAACACTGATCAATAAAATTGTTCTTAAATTCAAATTATTATAATATTATAAGCACCGCTCGTCAAATCCTTTTGAAACAAACAAAGTGGTACTAAACGGCCGTAGTGTATTGTTATAATATAATATTATGTTATCAGGACGTGTGTTATCAACAGATGCAAAAGATGATATTGTAATAATATTATTGACAATAACTGAGGCTCGCTAAAGATATATTCTCCGTAATTTAATTGGTATATATATATATATATATATATATTGTACATACATTATGGTAATATATGTATATATGTATCTATCATATTATTTTTACACGTAATATAGGAAGAGACGCATATTATTTACACGTTTAGTATTTATTATTAATTATATATATATTTTTTTTTTTTATAAAAAAAAGTAAATAGGAATTTGGACAAAAATCGGGGACCCTGAATTACCAAGCTTATATAAAATAGACAGTCAATAGACAAACGTGGTTTTTTAGAAAAAAGAATAATTAAATAAACTTAATAAGGGTGACGGAGGGGCGGGGAGGGTAGTAAAATTTGTACAAATATTTGGCGAAAAATTGACTAGTCGTTTAAATTATAAAATGAATACATACTAATAATTATTATATTCAAAAAATGTATACATATATATATAAATAACATTATATAATATTATACACGTTTGAAAATACAAAGAAAGGTAACATTTATGTTTGCAAGTTTATACCTAAATAGTAAACAATAAATAAAATACTATCGGAAGAGAAATGCAAGTGAATTGACAAATGGAATCTGCAAATATTATACTTTGAATCTGTAAGAATAGAACCGAAAACGTAATGAACCCAACTGAAAAAAAGTAACGTTTACGCACTGTCTTGTGGCAGACGACAGAAAATCACAGCCTCAATCGAAAGTCTTGGGAGACGTCTTATTAGCGTGTGTCGTGTATAATACAGACAATAGTCAACAAAAATGTTAAATTATTATGTAAAAATTATAACGACGGTAAAACAAGTTGAAACGTTATAATATTATTATGGATTTCTTCAATTTCGACTTGGCGACATTTTAATTATTAATTTTACCATTGATTCGTACAAAACACGTCATTTTAAAGCTGAATTAAATCCCAAGTTTTTTAAATTACAAATTTCAATAGCATTATATTTTGATTTCAGATTTTTTTAAATACCAAACTATGAAATTAAATAATATTGAAATATGCTTGGAAATGATCAAAATGTTAACGAAACTTTTATATATATATATTTTTTTTTATAATAACTTGAGTTATAAATAAATAAAAAATAAAAATATTTATGTATATAAAAAAGATCAAAGCCGAAATTCCGTTGCTTACAATATGATCAGCAAATCAATCGTTACTTCTTCACTTGATATTTTAGTCAGGTTAGGTTCATTTTCAGGGATATACATTTGTTTGAATTACTTAAAATTATATGTCCGAAAGATATATACGATTAATAATATAACTATTAATTATGACAATAGTTAATTGTATATATTCTTATATATAACATCATTTCTTTTTATTAAACAGCTATAACATCAATAAATATTAAAATAATGACTAAACAAGACAGATAATTATTTGAAAAATCAAAAGAAGAATAACTACGAAAACGGTATACAATAATAATAATAAAAAAAAAAAAAAAAACAAAAAAACAAAAAAACAAACGAGCAAATTCTCTCTCCGAACAACACAAACTAACATTAATTAATAATTAATAATACGTACCTAAATGTATAACAACAAAATTACATCAAAATATTAATAATAATAAAGTGTTTTTTTTTTTTTTTTTTATCTGTGTTTTATATATTATCATGTATATATATATATATAACTATATGTAAATGAGATTAAAGGAATTTGCAGTTAATTAATTTTTTTTTTCGTTTTTTGTTTATTATTATCATTAATCATTATCTTTTTTTAAACTTGTTTTTATTTTTTACATAGACAGAAAAAAAAGCGTTTTGGATAGATTCCGTACACGCACACGCACACGTATACACACGCACACACACAGATACACGGACAAACCATGCAATTCTTGGGGGGGGGCAGGGACAAGGGCCGTTGTGGTTTTATGTTTATTTTTTATTGTTGCCAAGAGATGACGGGGACGAGGTGAGTCGCTCGTTGTTTTGCTCATTGTTTGGTCCTCCACCAGGAGTTGACTTTTTCGCCCAGCTTGCGACACCAGCCGACTAGTTTGCGTCACATCGCGGCCACCGAGTCTTCGTCGCCTTCCTCGAGCGTCACGTGAAACCTGATGTTAGGGTCCTGGTCGCTGGCCGACGGCTTGGAGTCGTCGTCGTCACCACTGTCGCGGTCTTCGGACTCGTCGTTGGGCGGGCTGGGTGGAATCATACCTGTTGAGCGCAAAAACCAAACCGGGTCTTAGTAGGTATACTCTGTACATAACAATGGGTACCCATTATCGTCAAGGCGACGAAAACGGAGACAACGACGACGGTGAAGGTATATTTATATATACTAATATCATACGTATCGTCAAAGAGGAAAAGTCCTGCATATAAGCAAAACCATAACATTATACTACATATATACTCACTCTGGTACCAGTCTCTGTTTTCTTCGAGGGTGTCGAGTATTTCCTGGGCGTCGGGATGCACCAAGTCGGCCCACGTCTCCCACAGAGGGTGCACAATGTAATCGATGAATCCGACCTGTGCGCAGAGAATACAATAGTTGTAATGCATTGTAATAGGGTTGGTCAATAGAGTCCCGTCGACGTTCGGTTATCGCAGTACCTGTGATTTTTCGATCGTAGCACTGTGCCTGTCGCACATCGGACTGATGTCCAGGTTTTGTTCTCGCTCTTTGTCACCCTGCTGGAAGAATTCCTCCATCAACAGGTCGACCCATCGTTTGTATAGTTCCAACGGTTTGGTGGGGTTACTCAAGTCCGCGCAATGTACCAAGTTTTGCAAGACCTGTTCGGAAAACGTACGTATAATATTATAATGTATTTTGATATTTTATGTGTTCGTAGCGAGTGTCGCTGCAGCGGTCTAGTTTACTTGTATTCTGTCGGTGTAGTTGTCCAACAACAATACCCCGGAACCGGCCACTTTTTTTGTTTCCACCATGGTTTTGAGGTCAGCCAACAGGCTCATATGTTTGGACATGTCAGTGGAAAGTACCTATATGCGAGTGAGATAGAGTTAATAATGATAGAAATATTATATGCGTACAATAAAAAAATATCATCGAGACATTGTCTTACCATGTCGATAACCATTTTTCTCAGAGTTTGCCTTTGTTTTTTGTTGATGTTCTGGAATATGTCACACCCATCGTTTTGTAAGAGTTTGAAAGCCACAGCTAAATGATGGTTTTCGAGCACGGACTCGTCGTTGTACATCAGAGCCAATTCAGAACCTGCGCAAAATAATGAGGACGAAAAACGTCATAAAAATATGCGGCAACCCAACACGTCATTATACGAAGCATCATATATCGATATTATGATATAATATATTTTTGAAGTGTTATATTTACTCGAGTTGATGAGAAACTGATTGGTCAGTCCGGGATGGTCGACGTCGTGTATGGCGGCCGCGAAGAGGGCAGCAGTGATTTCCAGCGGAGTGAAAACGCTCTGAAAAAAAACGATCGACGGTTTAAACAATATAATAATGTTATACCGCCACAGTATAGAACGCTGTTATGCGCTGTGTCAAGTTCCGATTATGATAATATAATATAATATGATCTTAGTAGGTATAGTAATAGTTTAGAGTTTTTCTCAGGTTTATTCTGCTCACCTCCAGAGCCGGCGAGTTCAGCAAGACGTTGGTGGACTGGACGACGTCCGCCGCGTGTGTGCTGTTGTGGAAAGGATTGTCTTTGGCGTAATGATCCTCTAGGGTCATCATGAACGCAACGAACGTTTTAGCCGGTATCATGAACGTTTTCAATAGCTCTCGGTTCTGAAAAGAAGAAAAATAAATAGCGATCATTAGCGTTAGCCATTTGGTTAACAGCGTGGCAAACGAGCTTAGCGACTTCACAACTGCTGAGCAGCAAGTGTATAATCATCCCGCTGAAGTCGCCTTTACTGTCGTTATTGTTATTGTTGTTGTGGTTGTTACCTGGAACACGGTATACGCTATGGCCGTCAGCGGCCGGTTGTTGGTCAAATCGGCTATCCGGAATATATCGATACCCCATTTGTCTATTTCGGCCAGAGTCTGAAAGAGAAACCACGAGGGGTCGTTGTAATAATTATCAATAATACAATGTATACGATATCCGACTAGAATACATATAGATAATATAATGCATATGGGTATAATAGTTGTAGGCGTACACGGTACGTGACCATAATAATAATATAGGTACAACCTACATTATTAGTTGTGAGAGTTTCCTAATTGTTTCGCCGAAAACGACCTTTCCGGTCGTGTTTCACGAGGGTTAACCGTGATATTGTCTCAATGGCTCGACAATAATAGAACGTCAAATTGGGGTGGATAATGATTATACTAGTATAATATAGCGTGTATTATATTAGTTATTACTATTTAACGATCATAAGATTTCATTTTATTTTCAACACTAAATAGGTACAACACCTGCAATTGAGTACCTAATAACAGAAAGCTGTTTAACCGCTTTAAAAAAGTATTATTTGCAAAGAGTTCATAAGGTTTTCCTCCCAGTCTGCGTTTTTCAACGGCGTACTCAATTAACATAACATTTCGGCGTGTAAAACATTTATATTTCGATAGTTTATTTTTGACATTCGGTGAAATCGAAACACAATTTTCCGGATAAAACCATGAGAAATATTTAAGGACAATATTTTTATAATATTTTAGTAAACAATTTCACCACCTCCTTGACGAGCCCTATGGTGCCTGTGTACCCGTCTTCAATACACACGCAATCGTACACATTCGGTCGATTTTTGTACAACGACACGATATCATAACAATTATAAAATAATATTATAATATAATTTAACGAATTTTTTACTCACGTGTCCCAATTCTTCTTCCTTGGGCGTGTCCACGCCGAATTTCGGCAATCTTTCGCCGGCGAAACTGTTTGTGTGCGACAAGGCTCTCTTCACGCCCGATATATGCGACATAGGCGTCACTTTGGTGACTTTTTTCTTGGACTGCGAGCCGGACTGAGAACTGGTCGAAGCGCCGGATGACGATGACGCCTTGTTCTGTCTCGCCTCGTCCTGTTGGTTATCGTCGGTATGCAGTGAAGGTATATCCAGCTCTTGTTGTTTGTCTGAAAGGGAAGAGGAAAAGGCATTTTTTTTATTATCATTATTTATTTACGTCCCAAGTACAGTTCTCGAGTCTCCGAAGTTTTCGTCGGAAAATAACTATCGATATTTAAGAGAGAGAGACAGACAGAACTGGGTGGCGATTGGCTTAAGATATTATAATATATATAGGTGCATATTTATACTTTTATTATTTATACGATTACTCACCGAGAAACGTTGAACAAATGTATTCAGATATCTGATTTCCGGATTTACTAGACTCGGAGAAGTGACTAAGCTCTTTGTTAAGCATTCTTTTGAACTGTAAACATAATATATACAAAATTGAATTAAACAGCTAAACATTGTGAGTTGAACATAACAGATATGCAAATATAAATAACTTGGTGTTTGAGAAAATTCAAAATGCCAATTGTTCATAAAATATAATATATTTTAATGCAATATTATATACTATAATATAGTAAATTAACTTCATAAAAAGTATAATTAGTATAAGTTTCAATGAACTTCAATTTCTTCGTTTTAAAACATAACTAAAAATGTAATGCGCTTTACATAGTGGAATATTTTGAATATGGTAGATCAAATAAAACGTATCACATAACTGCTTAATATTTTAATTAAAATTCAATGATTTAATATAACTTTTTAAATTTGTAGATATCAAAAATAAAGTACCGATATAGATTTGTTCTAATGTTATTAATAATATTAAATATAGTACTTCATATTTATTGGCTCTATTGAATTTAATTTTACTGAGCCCAACTTAGACATGATATATATTATTTGTAATTAATTTATAAATGGTTGATTACGACAGTCGTTATAAGTATAATATTATAACTTAAATATATTGTTACTATTAAATAGGTTATATCGTTGTAGATTGAATTAACCAAAAACAGTATAATAATATAATGTAATATTTTGTCCAATGATCTTTTTGATATAATAGGTATATAATACAATATTTAAGGACGAATTTGAATTTATAGAATTGGTTATAAGTTCAAGCAAAAGATTAGGGTCACCAAAATATTTCTTTTCATCAAGTCCTGTATACTCGGCGGCGTGTATTATAGTAAGCTCCAATAGATCATTTACTATATTATTATACTATATATACATACTATGCACACTGTACATACTTTATATAAAAAAAAAATGCACATCGTTCTTATTTTTTTTTTACAGGGTCCTTCCAATTCTTTGCTATATTTTCTTTTTTCTTTGTATTCAAATCACTGGATATGTTTACGCCTATATATAATATTATGTGCGCTTCCGCCGCGGAGTTATAGAAAATTCAATTTGCGTAAGGGGAAAAACCAAAATCGATTTCTCGGATATTTTCCACTTGAGAAATGTCTAGCTATCCTCGAACCGGGAAACCTCCGTCGAGTGTTCGAATATAAATTGGCCGTGTTTATGCTGCGCGAGGTTAGAGTATACTGGAAATAATAATAGTAGTACGAAAAAAAAAAAAACAGAATTCTATTTCTTGGTGTTTTTTTTTCCGGAGAGTTTGTGCATTAATTTCGAACAGTAGCTAGTGGCTGCTAACCACGGCTGTCGGAAACCGTGAGCCACTGCACACTTCTCCAAAACAATTTGCATAAACCAATTTTATATTTTATTTTGTTATATTTTTCATTTCAATATCCAAGTCGCTTATTATATAATTTAATTATTATGCAACGTCTGCGAACACTTCGGGGCAATCCACTCGGCTCGCGCACAATCATAGTATAATATGATAATGTAATAGAATGTACCTACCTATGTGGCACAATTAAATATTTTGCCCCGTTAAACGATTAAGAGAAACAATATTGGGTTTACATATACTGGGAATAATACGTACCCATAATATTGTACATATAATATATTATGAGACGTGATTGAAATTGTGGCGCTATTATCCTTGCCGAGAAGAAGATCATTAAGAAACTAAATTCATTACGTCGGGTTTGGATTCTGCAAAATGTTTTCGATGATCGAATACGTACATCAGCGGAATTTACACCACAAACGACGCTTTTGTCAAATGGTATATTATATTGTAACCGTTGCAGTTTCCAGAAAATTGATTTAAACCCCTGACAAAGCTTAACGGTAATGTATAATCTGGTCTTGTAAGCTGCACGAAGAAATACATATTTATGATATATATATAAATACGTTGAACGTAATAGATATATTATGTGGGAATTGGTCAAAAATATGACACACAATGAACTCGTCAAAAATACTCAATACCCTGCAGAAACAAACATTAATTATAAATGCAACACATTTTTATGTGCACAAAAATATGTGCGACCAGTGGACAATGATTGACGGGTGTATTTGTTAACTAAAGTATTCTACAACAGTGTCAATTTTTAAGGTACAGAGAAACGATTACTTATAGGTATAATAGCATTAAATACTGTTTGTGGCTATTGTCGAAAAACGAAGCAGATAACTTAAAACAAAATATGGGATATATTATTATTAAAAATAGATTAAACAATAACAAGTAACAATGACTCGATAAGTGGCAGCTACTGGTAGATGAAAATACAATTATAATACAAAACAAAAAGAAAATTAAAAATCGGTATTCATAAAATATGACTAATTATTTTATTCTCGTTTTAAACCACTTTCCAAGTTCAAGATTGAACACATCGTCACAACGCATACATCGCTCTGCTCAAATCTAAAAATGTCATCCTCAAAATTAAATGTTCCCTAGCTTTCTTGGTATCTTATAAAATTGTATAAACTAATTGAATATATTATGATTTATGATACAATCAATATAAATTAAACAAATTATTTTATATGGGTAAACATTTTATTTTCCTAACGTCTAAACAGATGATATTATGTTTGTGCATAATATAATATGGTCACTGAGAAAATATAACATTCTGGTTGCCAGGTCCACGACATAATCAGATTGTGACATTACAACGCCAACGTCTGTGACTGTATTCATATAAAAACAAACATCTAGACAGTTTTCTGGGCAATTTTATAATATGATAATATTATGATTATTATTAATACGCGTTTAACTCGTGATTTTATATTTTAAAAGCAGCGAAGTATGATTATTTTACATACCTTCGACGATGCCATGTCTGAAACTGATCTATGTGTCTGGATAGTTTCCAATTGATCCAAACACCAATCCAGTTCCTCGATAGTCTCGATGGACATCTTGAGATATGCGTCATCTGAAAAAACAAACAAAAACGATGTTATTTTAAAATCATCGGATAATTGCGGGCTTAGATAAATCATTTTTAAATGTATATTTTATATATTATAATATTACGAAGAAAATAAATAAACAGACTTTATATTATAATATATTGTTATTAAAATGTGTCGTTCAAGAGTTTTTAAAAAGTACTAAAAACTTTCTGACAGTATTTTTTTTATTTTAAAGTATTTTTGTTTTTACGTTTTACCACAGCGATACTTATTAGTTTCATGTTAGAACATGAATGTTCTCAGGACGACAACTTTATCGGCGTGCTTTGAATGTTTATTGCTTTACAGCTAACTACATAAGTAGGTATATTTTGGAAATACACAAAACTATTTAGACCGTGCACAATATGCGCCCTAAAATTGTAGCGTACAAACGAGTACGAACAAAAATGATCATATTTAAAAATCTGTCAAATATATAGGTAGCTGGTATATTATTAATATACCGTCGACGGCTTTTTTTTTTTAACACGGATACCCGCGGTTGAAGCTTTTCGACACCATATAGGTACCTCTAGCAGGGAACAACGCTGCAGGTTTCAAACTGTTATTACATTTTGGAATATTAAAAGCGTGTGTGACGTGTATAATGTGACGATGTCAAGAGTGTTAGCTACTCTGAATAGTTATGTTTGTATCCACAAAAAAAAAAAAACCGTTTCGCACGTCCCCTATAGTTTAATAGCGGGTGTAGCCCCCGCCGTTCGACGGTTCGTATATAATAATATTGTACAAATAATTAATAATAATACATCGTCGGAGAACCCCGCGGGGGCTGTGACGGTGAAAATATTGCAGCAAACAGTCGTATAATAAAATTGGTCGCATACAAATTATTATTATTATTCTTTTCGTCGCAGAGCTATTACGAATAGGTACTATGCTGCACACTTATAATATATAGGTATAGTGTAAAGGTAGCTGCCCCCCACCCCCTCGCCGTAGCCACTGGTACAAAAGTCGATAATTTTAATCACAGCCAGCAGCAGCGCACTGTGTGACACTGTACACGGCGGCGGCGGTGTTTCTCGCGGGTCAAGTGTCGCAACTCAAACACATCGAGTGCTAACCTAACCTATAACACATTCATACATTGCAATGTATCATAAGCTTCTACTACACGGTGACATATGATATAATGTTTTAAAACTTTAACAGCATATTATATGATTTCGAGTCGCAGTAAAGTCGTCATCCGAGGGTGGTCGACGAGATTATCTTAGTTTTATTTCACGCACTCGCTCGCCGTGACAGGTATAAACGATATTGTATTCACGAAATAAATCACAATATAATGTATACCTACCAGTGGCGTATATAAAAATTATTTTCACTATGGGCCAATTTATCACTTACACTAGTCAAGCATAGCACGACTAACATAGCCATAAGTCATAACTATACATTTTTTAAAGAGCTGGGTGGTTATAATTATTACATATACAGTACAAAAAAAATTGCGCAATTTAATTATTATGTAAAATTAATTTTCCGATTCTTTTTTAAAAAATATTGACAGTGTCATTTATATATTTTAATGTTATCTTACTATGAATTTAACATCAAAGTCAAATATAAGTCATCAAACGAGTCATCAAAGCAAGTCCCGACAATCTAACATTTCCTTGTTGATTCCTCAAAAACGATTTTAATCAACCGGCTAATTTAATCATGGTGAAAAACTCTAAACAGTGTAGATATACATGAAATGCTTCACTATGGGCTCTGGCCTAGGGGGCCTCCCCCCTATATACGCCACTGATACCTACGTATAATGTCCTCGTATAGTCGTATATTATAATAGGTACTATATACGACATAGGTGTACGGGACGCAATCTATATGATTGACATCGTGATATCATTATATTTTATTACAATAAGCGTATTATACAAGTGGCGCTAAAATTAAAAACAAAAAAAAAGGGATTTCGAAAACAATTTACTATTCGGTTCGATAGACGGCTAGTGAGACGATGTTACTCGCAACTCGTTTCCGTGTTTCTTTTGTTTTTTTAAGATATTAATTATATTTACATTTTGAGACTATAAGTGAGGTGGTGAGCGTGTTTTTTTTTTATCTGCTCTTCCGAAATAAATAATTCATCGACCAAAATATTCCACACCGCTGCTGTGTAGCATAATCGTTAAGAATTTCGTTTCTACGCTCGGACCCTTAAGAATTTCGAATCAACATATTTATTCAATTACGCACGAATCCCGACCGAATCCCGACGCAGAGCATTTCAAACATAATCTTTTTTTACGATCTTCCATACACGAGTAATCGGCGTTTTGAAATCTACAATATATCATTGTCAATGCCGGTTCAACGAGCGTAAAACTACAACGTATCCCAATCATTTATAATCGAGACTGATCCTTTTCACATTGTTAAACACCCATAAGTTGTAACTTCGAATCGAAAGTCAATCGCACCACGCGATTACAGTCTTACAAAATATACTCTGCGGCAGAAGGGTTTTCGGATTTAAAATCGAAGAAATATTTGTAATCTACAGCCATTTACATACCCTATAATGAGCAATGGAAACTGTCAAAGTGTTTATGTAGTATGTACATAATATTATGGCGTATGGATATATTATTTAAAAATAAATAAGAAATAGTTTTTCGCCAAAGAACGCATCACGTGCAGCATCATCGTTTCCTTCAAAACTAAATTTTCATTTCAACTGACTATCTTTTCCACTTAACTGAAATTTTCTTAAAAAATTATCGTTTGAGAGCTACTATAATATATAGTCATAGTTCTGATTTTATGGTATTCTGAAAATATTAATAAGAAAAATATAGAACGTTTCCACACACAGACTTGCAAATGCAGTGATAGTGAATGCGGAACAACAAATATGAAATTATAAATGTCATTCCATACACACTTGAACGGACAGTTTTACAAACCACATCCTCATAAAAAATGTTAATAATTTTTTTAATCACATTTATAAAAATGTAAATGTCAAGTGTATATAAATTATAAGCTAATGGTTATTAGGTTTATGCACAAATAAACAGTTCAAATACCAAAAAGAGAAAATATTCAAAACAAATTAAATAACACGTTAACCGCAATTACAAAGTATTACAAGACTTAAAGTCTAAACTGTTAACCGATTAAAACAATAGTGAAATAATTTGGTGGGTCGACGAGAACAGCACACGGTGCGGGTCACGACTCACGGGGAGGTGCCTCGTTGTGGTCTCTTGGTAATTCTGAACTGTTCAAGTATAATATTTGTAGAGCATAAAAACTAGATTTTGTGGAAACGAAAAACTCCCGCGAAAACTTTGACTGACGAGTGGCGCACAAGGTAGTTCCAAAACAAGTTTGATGAGCATATTATTTTTACACATCACACTGTGAAGTCGGGCGATAAAAGTATAATAATTACTATCGTCGTTGGACGCGGTAAAAAATGCAAACAGAAAATTTCCATCCACATTTTTTGAATAGTTTCCACGGGGATCACTCCGATTTGGCGTGCAGCAGTATAATAAAATATGTCGTGTAAAAAATAGCTCGACGTCACTTATTATTGATCGACCGTTATCGGCCGCGGTGGGTCTATTTCAAAGACGTGAACGAGCGTACAGCACAATATTTACTTCAAGTATGTATAATATATACGAAAGAAACCCGTACAGCGCTTTTAAATAAACTTCGTACTTCGCTGGGCCGCAACGACTGTCTAAGCACCGGTGACTGACTGACGGGCGTCTCTATATATTCGTTGTGCCATAACGAGTGCGCGATTTTTCATTCGGTTCGATCGCAATCGATACGAAACGTTCGCTATTACGATACACCCGGTGTGTGGGTATAACGCTCGACGACGGATTCTCTTTCGCTTACCATTCGTCATGGCGTGTACCTACAACAACTGCACACGCGTCTCGTACGCCGCCGCCATCGAAACCATCCGCGTTTGATAAATTACGAACGGCGAGAAAACGACGTGGCGATAAAATGTTGTGTAAAACATTACGATGCGATTGGTTGTAACGTCACCAATCAACAGCCAGCCGAAAGTCGGATATATATAACCATACGATATTATATTATGATACAGCTGCGCCTCAACGATACCAAGTTTAGGTATAGGGGTGTTGTCAATTTTCTCAAAAACTGAATCAAAATATTTGCAAGATGTATATATACGATTTTTGAAATTCAGGGGAGCTGATTTGCATTTGATTCTAATGACCCCACTCAACAGCCAGCCTAAAGTCGAATATATATATAACCATACGATATTATATTATGATACAGCTGCACCTCAACGAAACCAAGTTTAGGTATAGGGGTGTTGTCAATTTTCTCAAAAAACTGAATCAAACTATTTGCATTTGCGATTGGTCGTAATGACCCCAATCAACAGCCAGCCTAAAGTCGGACATATATATATAATGCGGCCGTACCTTAACGATACATGCACTAAGTATAGGTATAATAACATATTCTCAAAAACTGACCCAAAATATTAGCAAGATATATGCGATTTTTGAAATGCAGGTAAGCAAATTTGTGGGTAGTCGAAAACATGAATGGTATAACATTTGCACCAGATTTCAAATATATTATTTTTTGGATACTGCCTAATATAATACGTCTCGATAAAGTGTAGAGTATAAGATATTGAGAAATTCAAAGGTTACAAACACAGAATATTCTCAAATCAAACTTGTTCTGTGATGCTACGGTTATTATGGTTACTCGACCAGCGGATAATGAGACATTTCCATCTAAGGTAAATAGCAAAAATATTAAGCCAAAAAAGGACAATTGACGAATCCGTGTATAACAATTTACATCAAAATGAATTATAATAGCTAATATTGTAGTGGTTAATTGAAGAAAAGTTATTATTGTCATTCGAGTCGTCGAGGGTCGTTCACAGTTCCGACGAAATAACCGAATAGGCACCTACCCAGTAATCGATTACTTGGATACTAATTCTGGTGCAATATACTAACACTATTTTAAGCTATCCTCTGTAGTGAAAATGACATAACTTTATTTTGTTGCAAATTATAGACTCCCACAATTATAGATATATATTGCTGAAGCATTAATTGTTAAATATATAGGTAAAATGCTAATACAAGTTGAAAGTCTAGTATTGCTGTCTACTGAGGTAAAATTTTATAATAATATTGGCTCTATGTTTTTTAATAAAATACGATTTTATACGCAATATAATATAATTTATTGTTACCACATAACTAAATAATTATCATCGTTTTTTTTTTACAATACGCGACTTATCGATTTTGTGCCTCTCTATATATAAACCTACAGCCTAACGCCGGTGATGGGGTTGGGGGGGGGGGGTTGAAATTGCAGGAGACCGGGGTATACACTTTGATGAAAATAAATTGCGTTTCTATTTTCAATCGCATGACTACAACACTATACAACAGCAGTACATCACGAACACTATAGGTGCATATATTTTATTGTATACCTACATTTTAATGCGAGCTGACCCTACTAACATGACATTTAAACGATTCTTCTTATGTACACAATAATATATAGATATATGGTCGCTATAAGTATCGAAATGTAACGAGACTATATATTGTATATTATTCTGTTTTCTTCGCGATAAAGTAAATAATAAACGAATGATGACGTATCAATAATGTGTTGTTATAATATAACAAACGATATCACCTGTCACCGGGAACACGTGGTATAATAAACGGCAAACTTTGACGTATTTTAACAACCGTATTTTTGTAAAATATGATAAAATAATTAATACTTTTAAGCTTTTATTGTTGTCGTTTAACTTCATATTACGTCTGTATACAGCTATAAAATTATTAATGTCAAACAAACAGTGCTGCACTGTGTGGTTTATTATTTTAATGATGAATGTTCGAAACGTTTAATTATTATCGTGCTATATATACAATAATAATTTGATATTGGAATATTCTGTACAGTGTGTGTGTGTGTGTGTGAACGCATGTGTATATACTGTGTACATAATATATTATAGTTTCATTTGTATACTAGGTATACGTACCTACATATTAGGTACCTATATATTTAGATTTCATAACGGTGAAATCTCTACGGGCAACACGAGAAAATCGATATTAAATTAATATTTGATCAAACGGACAATAACAATACATTATACAATTATGAACGACCGCAGCTGCACAACCAACCTCATACCGAACGGGGTGGTTCATTAAGCATCCTAGCCTCCAATTTTTTTTTGTCGTTTGATAATGATTTTATTCAAATTCTGATGTTTAGAATTTTTATGTAAATTTAAGGACCATATATTATCAGGTAAAATCAATAATAAGCCGTTCCGTGGTGATACAAAACCGATTTTTTCAAATAAGAAACCAAACCTTGACTAATAAGTATATTTTAAAATATTTAGTAGATATTTTTTTGAAAATGTTGATTGAACCTCTGGTTTAGCATAAAAATAATGACGATGACCACACTTGTTGAATCACCATGTATACAGCAGAAAGTGGTCAAAAATAACTTTCATCGTAACTTATCGATAAACTTACCAATATAATAAACTATTATTTACAATATTTATACATAATAATAATATACGAACCACTCTGTAGTAGATTTGAAAATACGTCTTATCAGTTAATCGTTGTACGTACTAATTGTTTATTTAAATTTTTCTCTTTTTCCTGATAAACGTAATATCAATAATGTTTATAGTATGTACCTTTGATCTGTACCGCACTCTGCGAAAGCAATATACATTGTAAGTCATATACATCTTATATTATATACCATCTACAGCAAATTTAAACGGAATCTCGCGTGGTACATCGAACTTAAATCGGCGACGTCTAAAATCAAATTTCACTTTGTACTACGACCGGCAATGGTTTCCATATAATATTATTATACATTCTTCGTTTATTTTACCGTAACCCCAAAGTCGATCAACATTCACAAGATAAACAAAAAGAGGTACCTATATATATTATATTATTATATATGTATAGAGGAAAGACGTTTACATTAAGCTCGACCACAGTAAAAATAATTGTTTAGCCGAGAATCGTTTGAATAAACATAATATTGTTGTGTTTGCGCACCCGTCGGCCGTAATGCTGCAATATGTATGTAATAACCTAAAAGATATTTTGATTTTTAAAACAAACGAAACCAACCAGTAATTTTCTATTTGTCTGATCGATATCATCCCGTCAAGTTTAATAGGTGGTATATTATTATTATACCAAATTGTAAGTATAAAACTAAAAAAATATATACCTATAGTATTATGGTTACCTATTGTTCCGATGAGTTAAAAAAAAGTTTGTTTTCCCATCGTAATCAAAATAAACAATGCATTTTTTTTTTTAACAAAACATCATATTCTATTATACATATTACTTGTATTTATAACCAGTGTTGAGATGGCTTCATCCCGTTTTTGTGTTTTTTAATAATTTTTCAAGACCCTTTTCAATTTTAGTTATCATAACATTAATTATAGTGTTGTTTTAGGAAATTCACTTTTTGAATTCTAAACCTTATTTGCAGGTATTGTAGAATATTTTTAATATTTTCATAAAACGTCTATATACGTGTACCTATGTGAATAAAAACACAATGAATAACTGAAGATTATAATATAATTATATGAGTTTTGTGTGCGCGAGGTATATCCCATTCGGCACTTTACTCTTCTTATCATAAGCCTAATTAATCGTGTACCTGCATCGAAAACTTTAAGAAAATATTTAGTTGGATTTTATGGAATTCAAAAAATGTAGACTTTTCAAATAAAAACCCTAAAACAACACGGCACAAATTGTTCAGATTCACAAAAAAAAAACAATTTAAAACCTACGGGCGTTTACTAATATTATATTACGTTGAAACTTTTAACAACTTTGACACACACACACACACACACACACACACACACACACACACACACTAACAGAGTAAAATACAAACATTATAATATGATAATATATTATATACCTGGAACGTATATTAATTACCTACATACAGATAGAGTTATTTATTGGCATATACGTATTAGATCGGACGTTCCGGCGTACCCACAGGAGCCAAAAGGGTTTATCAATTTAAGGTTTATTGTGCACTTAGCCCGGTGGCACTACATTAAACTCGAAGCTGTTATATATATATAGTATTATAATAATAGGGTATATGACTATAAGCGAATGCACCTATTTAATCACGAGCGCAGCCCCCCGAAAATCCCGTCCGAGAGACCATCGGGACAAACAATAATTGTCACTGTTTCGGAGTGGCGGCGCAGGGGGCAGTCGCCACTGCGGCGGCGGCGGAGGAGTTTACACAGCGGCTTCCGGTTTATTGATCCACCTTAGCTTCCACCTCCGCTTCCGCCGCCGTCGCCACACCATCATCAGCCATCACCGTCGACGTCACGGCAGACAACGGGGAAGTAAACGAGATCTGCAGTCGACGGAACGAGGAGGAAAAAAATCTCGAATCGTCGA